AATAAACCTAGCCTTGGTGTTTCTGTGGCAATGCATCCACAGACCACAAAGGCTGTGGATGCATTGCCAACGGATGAAATGGACAAGCACGCCAACGGATGAAATGGACAAGCACGCCAACGGATGAAATGGACAACAGAAATGAACGAGTTTATCATCCGTACTTACTATACCATCACAAGACTCGTAACAAACATGACAGCATACAGACAACAACTACACCATAGATTCACACAACAATATCCTCACGTCACTGTCACCGAACAAAGGGTTGTCGATCAGAAAAGAACAATTATACATAACAACCTTATCCCACAAACAACACTTGAACTTATCAAACAACAGGTTGCTGATCAAATACATCAACAGACAGAAACACTTAACAATTAATGAAGATCATGTAACCTGTCAGGATAATTCAGCAACAAGCATTGATAATAGCACACCTACAACAAATGACACTACAGGTACTTCCTCTTCCATCACTGATAACATAGACATAGAATTAGTTAATACACTCTCATTTATATTTCAGGAAACACTTACTAAATATACAGGTACAGATCCCACACAAAGACCACGAATACTAAAAATCAACATGTCAAAGGTAGTAGGAAGAACACTAAATTATGTAAACACTCACTTACTACCAAACTACATTCATTCGATTTCTTCACTTTCAGACATTCATACATTAGTTTATGCTGGGGCAGTCCCAGCATAACACACCATGCACTGAAAATGCATGGTGTGTAACACACCATGCATTTACACACCATAGTAACACACCATGGACTGAAAATACAATCGCAGACACACACACACAAAACACAATTCTATCACAAGCCTGCCTGGCAGAGAAGAAGAGAAACACAAATAAATGACATTAGACAGCAATTGGGCAGGCTGACACAATACACTAAAAACAACATAACACCCAAATTAAAGAAACAACTCAAAATAATTTTCAAGAAAATCAAAACACACACAAAACATGAACACAACAACACACACATTACAGAATACATCGATACACGAAAACAGAGACTCGCACCCAAAGCACGTAGACTCAAACATGTACACTACGAAAACAACAAAATAAATTATTCGCAAACAACGAAAAACTTTTCTACAGACAAAACAGTACCAAAACAAATACTGAAACACAGCACAGTAGCACACCAACAGAAGAAGAACTCACAACTTATTGGTCTTCTCTTTGGTCCAATGCTGTTACACACAATGCTGATCCAGGCTGGATTGAGGAGGAGAACAGACTTGCACAACATACCAACTATGCCCTGTGCTGAAATAAACGTACATGACATCCGCTACGCCATTAACAGAACACACAACTGGAAGACACCTGGTGTAGATAACATTCACAATGTTTGGTACAAAAAGTTTACATCACTGCACCAGGAACTAGCTAAACATCTAACACAAATCATCATCAATCCACAAGACATGCCAAAATTTCTTACTCGGGGCATTACCTACATGAAACCTAAAAACAACAAAACCACAGACCCCACACAATACAGACCAATTACATGTCTTCCAACACTCTACAAATTATTGACATCCTGTATCACAAACAAAATATACAAACATGTTGAAGAACACGACATTCTTACAGAACAACAAAAAGGTTGCCGTAGAAATCACAGGGGATGCAAAGAACAGTTACTCATAGATTCAGTCATTCTACGGCAAGCACACAAACAACACAGAAACATACACATGGCATA